TGACAAGTCTCTCAGTCCCTACAGGTGTCTTCAAATCTAGAAAAGTCTTTTCATGTCGCTCAAATTTCAAGTCTCTCAATATTCCAAGGAAGTGAACCAACAATGCAGTGGGACGAAGACTCTGCCCCATAAAAGCTGGATGTGCGTGATGAAAGATGTCGTTTTCTGATCTGAACTACTCACCATGGCCTGTTCGATCTTGTTGTCGATGGCAACCACACTGGCGAAAGACAGACACATTTAGTCACAAAAAGCCCTCTCCTTTGCTTTGTCCCCAGACCCACACAACACTACCTGATGTCCGCCGGCAGGCTGAAGGCAGCGCTATGGTCCAGGCTGAACGCTGTCGGAGTGGGGATGAGGGTCAGAGTGGGAGGGGGAGAGCTTGGCTGAGAGCGAGAGAGCCTGAGGACCGACTGACACACAGAGAAAGCAAAAAAAAAATGGTGAAATACTTTGAACACTGTCTCATCGGTGATTCTTGATCCAATGCACCCACATCATCATCTCGGAAGTTTACCATTCTGCTTTCTTTGTGATCAAAACCAGTATAGTCCTACAAGTCTCATTCATGTCCATGCAAGTTTATTCAGGTCTTTTCATGTCCCTAAAAGACTCTTCATGCCCCTACAAGTCTCTTCATGCCCTTACAAATTCCTTCCTGTCTCTAAAAGTCCCAAGAAGTCTCTACATGTTCTTAAAAGTCTCTTCAAGTCACATTTCTCCACAAGTCCCAACAAATCTCTACATGTCCCTTCAAATCTCATGTCCAGACAAGTCTCTTCATATTTATAGTAGTCCCAGTAAATTTCTGATCTCCTTAAATGTCCCTGCAAGTCGTTACACATATCTTCATGTTCTTACAAGTCCCTTCATATCTCTCAAAATCCCAATGCATCTCCAGGTCTCGTGTCTCTACATGTTCCTACAAGTGTTTTCATGTCCCTCAAAGTCTTTACATAACCCCCAAAAAATCCCTATATGTTCCTAATACTTAGCGGTATAAGTCTCTACATGCCCCTACAAGTCATGCCCTTCTAAATCTCTTCCTACCCCCACAAGGCATGTCCCTAATAAGTCCCAACAAGTCGCTTAAGGTTCCTTCTAGTCATGTACCAACAAGTCCTTTCAAGGTTCTGTGAGTCCCTAAAAGTCATATCCCTACAAGTTTCTCCATGTCTCTACAAGTCATGTTCCGATAAAACCCAAACCAGTCTCTTCATGGCCCTTCAAGTCTTGCTAAATTACTTCATGTTCCTCTCAGTGATGCTTTGTCGTACCTGCCCACCGGCATTAGAGGCCAAGCGTAATGGCGGAGGTGGAGAAGGCACTCGTCGCCCCACCGTTCCTCCATCTCTGATTGGCTGAGATGGTAAATGGACTGCTCCTGTAATTGACTCCAAAGACTCCAGTGATTGTGCGTGTCTTATGCTGTCCATGACCCGTTTCAGCCCCGGCCCATCCGTAAAGTCCGTGCACATCCAGCGGCCACGCCCATATGTGTCGCCATGCCCTCGCCCGCCTGTGCTGCCTCCTGCCAAGCGGACCAGTCGGAACCTGGATGAGGCGCCTGCCCCCTGCCCTAAGGCATCATGCGAGATGTGTTTCCTCTTCAGGGAGGGTGTCGTGGGCTGGGAGGAGCTGCCCCGGGGACTGTGGGAGGTAGACGACGTTTGGACGACTGTCAGGAACACGCCGGGAGCTGATTGGCCGGCCCAGGTTTGACTGAAGTCTGATGTCACGCTAGTGATCTGGAAGCCACTCCGCTTTTTTTCACTGGTCATCACCGAGCATACGCTCCCTGAACATACACATACAAAGAAAGGTAGGCCTTGAAAATGAATGGATGAATGAATTGATGGCCTAAGCGAAATTGGCCCAGTATTATCACATCGGCAAAATTAGACCATGTGTCATGAGGAAGGATAATGGCGATTAGTTTTCAACATTGGTACGCATCTGGTTGCTCAACATTTGAAGGTGATATTTACCCTATTGAGGACTCTTGTAGAAAATAGATGGCCGAAGCAAAAGTGACCACTGTGGTTAGACCATGTTTAAAATAACAGAGGTTGTTTTTAAACACTAATATGACCCAGGTTGTTAAATTGAAGTGGAAATGTACCCAAATAAGGACAGGCACTATCGCACATTAATAGATGGTTTGTTGTCTGCATGTACCCTGCAATTGGCCACGACAAGGATGTAGCCTGCCTCTCACTCAAATTGTCACCTGTGATAGGCTTCAGCTCACCTGTAACCCTAATAAGGACAACCTCGATACAAACTTCCTGGGTGTTTTTTTTTTTTTTTTTTTTTTTTTTGTGTCTATTTGGGTCCTGCAATTGGCGGTCAAGCAATCCAGAGTGTACACTACCTTTCTCTTCAAATCAGGTGGGATATGTCTGGCAAAACCCAAATGAACAAGCGTTCTGGAAAATGGATGGATGGAGACTACGGAACTGCTAGTTTTATCAGACTCTTCTCCAAGTACACTTCAAACAACACGTCAAACTATTTACAAGGTGGGAGGAGCATTTCACACCTAAATGTTCCACTAATACTGAGAATTTTAAGAGTGAACTAAATCCTCTGTTTTTAATCTAAGCACTGTCTAGTTTAGCGCAGTTTTTTTCCAGCACATCGGTAATGTAAGGTAACACTTAAGATTTTCTTGAAGCATTGTCTCACCTGCTTCTTTGCGTCTTTGGAATTGTTGTCAAACTTCCTGTTTCTTTCCTTTACTTTTCTTCTTCGCTCGTCCTGTCAGCTGCCGGCCTACGTTACTGCGCGTGCGTCAAGAAGCTTCTCCTCTGAAGGGCAGAAAAAAAAAGGAGGAATTAAAAAAAAAAAACATTCCGAACGCTTCCACGACGAGTCACAATAGTTGTGTCCTGGTCCACTTTTGCGACAATGTGGTTAAAATGACGTTTTTAGTACGGGTGACGTCACCGGACTCGAGTTGAACATTCGGCGTATACAGCTCCTCCCCCATTCCTGCGATGACGTCACAATGGAGCAATTCTTTTTTTTCTTTTTTTTTCTCCCGAAAGTCATAACAGCTCAGTGCGCATGCGCTATATACAAACACGTTCCCGACACAGGGCTCAGGTTTATTTTCTAAATTAAATTAAAATGGTCCTTTTTTTATTTTCTTCTTAAGTTTGTAAGGAATATTTAAGAGACTTTGCCCCTCATTCACATTACTTGTATTTATCCATTTTCAATGTGTTCATGTATTTGTTTGACTGAGCTGGTTGTGCAAACTCTTGAGTTCAAGGGCCACATTGATTTTTTTTTTTTTTTTGATGGACCAGGTCTTTAGGAGTTAAAGAAAGTAAACGTGTGTAAAATATGTTACGTGGTTTCTTTGACTAAAAATGTAATAGTTGGACAATTTAATGAAATTTAAGTGATCACGGTGCATATAAAAAAGGTTAATTTTGCAGATATTATTCCTTATATTTGTAAAATTAATTAAACCAAGTATTTCATGAGATAAATGATATTTTAATAAAATGATTCTCAGTTTTACATTGCATCACTCATTCAAATTCATTTATTATATATGGTGGTTGCAAAAGTAGGTATACAATAGTATCTCATTGGAGAAATTAGTGACATGATGAATGTATTTTTCTTTTGTATAATAAACAATAAGTCATGTGCATGTTTTTATTTTTATAACTATACCTATTTTTGCAACCCCTGTATGTCATTTATTCATAACAAAATATATACATATTTTAATATACAATAAATAAACAATTATTGAATGACAAAAATATTTTTTAGGAAGAAAATAGCGAGATTAATGCAACCAACACAGTGCAGTATTACAGGACTTTTGATAATGTAAATGCCTGCTGGCCCAAATTAAAAATACTTTGCCTGTCCCTTGTATGAAGCAAAAATGTCGATTCATATTATGTCAATCATGCATTTGTGTGTAACATTTTTATTAGACAGAGAGAAAACAGTGCAAGAAGGTCAGGTGAAGGTCAAGTGATGGTGCTCCTGCAGACCATATTCGTGTTTGTGCTGCTCAAACAGCTCGCTCAGATGCTCCAGGTAAACTTTGTGAAGAGCATCAATATCCTCGCTTTCTGGACTTGGACAGGTTGCGACCTGGATTGGCTTTCCCACTGCAAACAGATACACTGCTGAGTGGTGCGGAGAGACCGACGCAGACTGGGGGGCAGCGGGGGTCGGTGTTGACATGTATTGATGGATCGTACCAACTGTGAGTATGGCTTTCCTGTGCGGCATCAGCCCAAAGCTGTACTGAAAGACTCCTCTGCCGTTGATCAGAGGCAGTGCTATTCCCATAATGCTTTGTAGCCGGTCCTGTCACAGAACAACAGACTTTATGTCCCTACAAGACCCTACAAGTCTTTTAATGTCCTTAAAAGTCACTAGTTCTGATGAGTCTCTTCATGGTCCTAAAAGTGCCAACAAGTCTTTTCATTTCCAACGTTTCTTCATGTTCATGACCTTCCGATAAAAACCCAAGTTGGACCCATCTCTTTCCAGCGCAATGACACTCATGCGTACAACCAGCGTCACTATGGCAACCAAACTCACCTGCAATGTCCTGAGAGGAGACCCGGTCGGGTTCTGAATTTGATCAAACAGCTCGTTTTCTCCAAACGAGAAGACGGGTACCAGTTGAGCTCTGCGCACATGCACAAACACACACGAGAACATTTAAAAAAGCAAGCGGGTCAATGTGCTTGTGCTAGCCCCGTCCACCTCCTCCTGACCCAACTCACACACCCGTGTCTCAGTGCCAGTTTGATGAAGCCCTTCCTTTTCTGTAGCTGTAAGAAGAAGAAACTTTATTGACATAGAAAAAAACAAAAACGTTGTAAGAAGAAGAAACTTTATTGACATAGAAAAAAAACGCACACTTCTTTAGTTCTAGCTCCCTAATCCTGTCATGTAGCCTCAAATTATGTGCCTTCGATCTCTTCCTAACTCTACAAGTCTTCAGTTCCCGACAAGTCATATCCCTTTGAGTTTCTTCACGACTCTTCATTTTCCTACAAGTCATGTCCCTCCGAGTTCCAAAAAGTATTATGTCCCTGCAGCTCTTCATTTCCTTAAAAGTTACGCACCTACAAGTTCCCACAAGTCTCTTCATGTTAGGGACATGAAGAGACTTGTCACGACAAATTTATACAAGATACTTCATGTGCCGACACGTCATGTCTCTGCACATTCCAAAAAGCATCTTCATGTCCCGACAAGTCTCTACATATTCCCACAAGTCCCGACAAGTCTCTCCATGTTCCTATGAGAACATTCATTGACACAAACGAAGAAACAGAGACGTTTTTAGTTACACGTTCACACCTGGAGCGTCAAAGCTCCTGGGCGAGCATCCAGCGCCTCTGGAGCTGCGCCCACTGCAATGACGGCGACGTTTCCTCCTTGAGGACGACTCAGCAGGTAGGAAAGGCTGGACTTGGAGCTTGATACCAGACCTAAGAGACACACAGGTGTCACATTGTTTTCCTTGTCTGGGGTGTCAAACAGGTCAGAACCTCGGGGGAAATCTGTAGCACATTCGACAGGCAATGAGGAGGGCAGCATTTGGGCCCCCTCTGGTCAGAGCTTCATATGTCCCTTCAAGTCATGTCCTTCGAAGTTAAAAAGAAAAAAAAAAAGTTTTTTCCTGTCCCTACAAGTCTCAATGTCTCTCTCCATGTCTTCTAGAGTCTCTTCAGGTCCTTACGTGTCCTGAAAGTAATCATTGTGTGACTTCCTACAAGCCTCTATGAGTTCCTGCGCGTCTTTCAGTGTCCCTACTAGTTTCTTACTGTTCCTAAAAAGCCCCTTACAAGGCTATTCATGTCCCTACACTCCCCCACCAGTTTCTTCATATCCCTACAGGTGTCTTCATGTCACTAAATGTCCCCACAAGACTTGTATCCCAATAAGTTGTGTTCCTACAATGTGCAAGTCTCAAAAAGTCTTCAGGTCTTAACATGTCTGCATTCATTAGGGCAGTGATCCAAAATTTTATTGAGCCAAGGCACAAATTTTAAGTTCGAAAAATGGCACACCACCAAACAAAATTGTCACAAAAAGAGGATACATCTGTAAACGTAATACTTTTTGCCATCTAATAGAAGATTATTTATTTGTTCTTTCTGTCACTATAAGTCGGTGGCATAGATTGATTGGACAAAGACACATTATTTGTTATTAATAAATACTTTTCTCACTAGTTTGATAATTTCCCGCAGCACACCATTCGAGGTCTCACGACACACTAATGTGTCCCGGCACCCTGGTTGGGATCACTGCATTAGGCAGTCAAGATGCGGGCAGACCAACAAACAGACAGACGGTCAGACAGACAGACAGGTTTTTACCTCCACACATGATGTAATCTCTGAAGAACGGCACTCGGAACCAGAAGGGCAGCATCAGCAGATGAGATTTGAGTCCAGGAAAGAGACCGGTGAAACCCGTGGACTCGGTGCAGAAGTTACAGAACGCCCCGGTGGCCAGCACACCTGGCAAATGACACGGGGCGAGTGAGACAGGCGGGACAGACAGCAAGATGGACAAACACTCGAGCATCTCACCATGTGGATGGAATCCAAATATGTAGTTCTTGCCAGGGTCCAGGTCAACCGTTTTCACTAGCTGAAGATAGACGAGACTCATCAAGTCCATGTCGCGAGACACACTCGTGATGTGGTGGCACAATTGGAGACACCTTTATGGGAAAGTAGTCACGGAAATGTTCCCACACTCCCCAGCGCCGGAGCCACTGGCACCTGCGACCTCCGCGGTTTGGTGTGTCCCAGTCCAGCCACAACCAGCCGGCGTAGAGCAGCGCTGCCATCCACCAGGTGGAGAAAGACAACAGGATGAAGGCGGCCAAACAGCATTGGGCTGAGGGACAGACAGGTAGGTTGGTAGGAAGAGACACATCAGGACAGTGTTATCATTGATCGTTATTTTCTTGCTCACACATAATACAAACCCAATTCTAATAAAGTTTGGACGTTGTGTTTAACATAAATAAAAATAAAATACAGTAACTTCACTGTTTCACAGATTCTGTACGTGTTACACGTAGTAAAATACATTAGATATCTTGACTTTTTAATGTATTCAATGAAATATCGATTGAACATGAGTTACAAATCATCGTATTTCATTTTTATTTATGTTTAACACAACGTCCCAACTTCATTGGAATTGATTTTGTCACGTGATTTAAAAACACGGTACTATGGGACTATAAAAAGACATCCGTTTATTTTGTATTCTTTTATATAATTGTGTTCGGTTAATGCATGTTGAGATTTCCTTTATTCACTCACATTGATATTCAATCAATGCAGCGACAACGTTGAAGACTCTCGCGAGTATAAATATTGGCAAGTTCCCTTTACCTAAACCCAGGAAGGAGAAGATCCACTGCAGCACGGCGGCGGTTTGCAATCTTCGCCTTAGCGGGACGTAGAGCGGGGCAAAGCGGATCTGCATGGGGGATGGCTTTGCCGGGGGGGAGTCGTGCAGAGTCGTCGGAAATCTGGCGGATATTCTCGCGGAAACTTTTCGCACGATCAAACTTCGTAAACACGCCTGGTCTCTCTCTGCAACGCGCATATACGTTGCTCGTGGGCGGTACGCAGCCCGCAAATCAGGACTGAGTTCAAGTGGGTTTGGCGTGATTGGTTCAATATAGGCGTGTTCGAAGTTCGATTGTAACTTTTTAGACTAATGCAGTGTTCATCTTCTTATTGTGTTTCTCTTGTTTATTCATCATTTGTCTGTATTTTTTCCTGTGGAATGTATGTCGTGCGTGTACAATGTATAATAGATTGAGAAAAAAAATTGGTAAACAAAAGTGACATTTCAGGCGTAGTTCACTTTCTGAACAGCGGGTGGCAACCGAGATAATGCTCGGTTCAGCTCGGACACGCACGTCAAAGAAGACGCCGAAGAAGAAAGAAGGCAAGGGTGGGACGAGGCAGCTGTTTACTGGTTAGTGTGTTTGAGTTTTTCACCAACATTCATCTTATTGTCAATATTGTGCTCGTTAATTTACGACGAGTAATTAAGGTTTAAAAAACATAGGCAACGTTTACAGGTGTCCGTTAGATCTGAATGTGCTAACGTTTCAAATTATAAAGAGGGGGGCGTGTCGGTAAGGTGCTTCCTTTATCGGACGCCTTGGCTTTCATTTTTGCTTGTGCAAAAATTACTCCTTTTTCTACTCAATACATGTACTCCTCTTATTATATAGGGTGCTCCCAACGTCTTTAAAACCAAGAAATGTTACACCGCTTTTGTTTTGGCTTGTGCAAAAATAATTTATTTTCTACTTCATACATGTCCTCTTGTTTTGTCGGATGCCCCCAACGTCTTTACAACTAAGAAATGTTACATAATCTATTAAGATCTTAAGCGGTGTCAGAACGATGGCATAGATCGAGGTTATTTATGTCACTTTGCACTCAATACCTATACTTGTGTTCGTGAACTGTACCAACGCATTCTCAGTGACGTCGTTTGTTACGTTTCCAAAGTAAATAATACTGTAATTGTCTTCTCAACGAAACAACATGAAGCTTGGTTATTATTTCACTTAAAATCATTTTCTCTTAGTTTGCGGTGCGCTGTTGGATGGAGTGTTGAGCGAGGAAACACAATTGCACACACCAAAAAAGAAACATGACAACAATCAGAGAGAAGGCATCCCAAGGTTCCGGCTTCATCTCATTTTGGACTTCTCGCTATACATTTGAACGAGCTCCCTCTGTGTAGAAGGAAGGGCCTTTTTTTCCCCATGGCTGTGGCTGAGAACAACCCAGAGGTTGCCGTATCTTATTGCAGCCTCTGTCCAAGTAAAGAACTACCAAAGCCAGATTGCCCTCATCCCCGCCCGCGTGCTGCAGCTGCCGCGGGCAGGCAAAGCCAGAAAACGCCGTGCAGCCGGAAAGAAAAGAGACGACTTCAGAAGGGCAAGAGAAGAGGCCAAGTGGAGAAGGCGGGTGTCATGGTGAAGAGGGCCTTGAGTGGCGGCAAGCGGCAGTGGGACAAGAAACATTACTGCATGTTCTGTTGCCGGCCGCAAGTTAAGATTGCTCGCCACCTGCTCAGAAAACACGCGGATGAAAAGGAAGTTGTGGCAGCGAGCGTCCTGCCTACAGGCTCCAAGAAGCGCCACCTGTTGCTGGAGCAACTGCGCTGCAGAGGCAACTTCCAGCACAACATTGAGGTTTGTTGAAGCAACAGCACGGCGTCAATGATGATTACAATTTTTTCTCAGAAAAAAAGAAATTGTTTGCAGGTTCCAAATTAGATGGCTGGCCACTTCCACCAACCTGGAACAACAGCACAATACTTAACAAACGTTCGTGTTAAACATCAGGTTGAGCCTTTTTAATTATGAATTTAATGAAGGTGAACCAAATGTAACTTCCCAAAACCTTCTCTGTTGATTTCAATAAAATTACGCATTAGGCACTTCAAAACATTTTGTAATAAGAACTCAAGGGATCATAATTGTTTGTTGCAGTGAGTTCAGTATCATGTGTAGGTGTGTCAATCGCAGAGTGCAATTTGCCTGTCATTGTTCAGTTCTATCTCGATTTTGCGCATGTATTTCTTGGGAGTGTTTTCATAGTTCTATCTGTCAGATGATAAGACAGGGCAGCGGCGAGATTGTGCCTTGGCGACGACCCTCTCAGGAAGTGGATGCCAGGAACTACCTTCCGTGCCCGCGCTGCCTCGGCTTCTTCCTGCGTGCTGACCTCTGGAAGCACCAGGTCTCTTGTCATAGGAAAATGGCCTACGACCCATCCAAAGATTCAAGTCACCCTACAGCTGATCCATCAAAGGCTTCCTCCTCTGAGCGAACAAGCGAGGGCTGCGCAAACTCGCCAGGAGACGCAACTCTCCATCCTTCAGATGAAACCTCAAGGTCTAACCAGTTCCGGCCTTCCCAGGCGGAACCTCCCAGGAAGCGTTGCAGAGTCCAGGCCGAAGCATCTCGCCTACTGCCCATATCCAGCGTGGCCTCTGAGAGCTGCAGCGCAATTCTACACCGCACGAACCTGGACCACGTGTCACACCAGGTCGGCTCATGTCTTTTTACCCATCAGCCCGCTGTTGTGCTCTGCGTGTCAAGCAGTCTCCTTCCTTCCCCCGCTAGGTGAAATCTGATTGGTTGATCTGTAAGTATGGGAACAAACTGATGGGGAACCAAGAAAGCAGCCAAATGAGGTACGACTACACAGTCACAAGCTGAGGAAGCTCGGCAAGTTCCTCCTGGCTGCTAAGTCTTTGGACTCCGGCATTCAGAACCTCCAGGATCTCTTGGCTCCAGGATGCCTAAGCCTGGCACTGGCCGCCGCCAGGAAGTCATCCGGTTATCAGTGGAGCTGCCTCCCACTGTCGGTGAAGACCATGCTGAAGGCTGTGTGTGAGATTGCCATTGGGGAGAGCCTTCAAAATGGCGATGGGGAGACCGCAGCCAGGACCAAAGACTTTTCTCACCTCCTGGGGAGGGACTGGGACCACCTGAGGCTGCCGACCACAAAGTCAGGTAGCACCTTGAAATGCCATGGTTACTGACCGAGTCCAGGTCTTCCCTGGCCATCAGCAGATGAAAGTTTTTAAATTGTTGATGTGTCAGCAGCAGAAGAGGAAAAACCAAGGGAGAAATCACTGGCCCATTCGAGAGGTGAAAAAAAGTCCCAGGATGATGGAATTAGCGATCAGAACTCTGACCATCGAGTACTGAGTAAGTCCTGACCCTGAACATAAAGTGTTGATCCTGATTCCAAATTTCCATTCCAAATTAAAGTGAAAAGTGATCAGAAAACGAAACACTCAAGCACAGATAACCTGAAAAATCGACATAGTTGCTTCTCCTAACCGCTGACAACTGGTTTTGAATTGCACAAAAGATACACTGATCCATCTCTGGGTACTACATGTCCATCTTGCCCGTCCGCAGTCCTGTCGAAGAGCTCAAGCACAACAATGGAGTCGACACCGCAAAGTCCCGTGACAAGTGGGTGCTTAAATTTGCCAGTAGCATTCAGTCTTCTCCTGAATCAGTTTTCATCTTTGTCTCATCACCATTTGTCCTTCAGCCCCTTCCGTGCCAAAGAAGGTCCACCGCCGTCCGTGGTCGTCTGCAGAGAAAGAGGCTGTCTGGAGACAGCTGGGAGTCCATGTGCTGGTCCAGACCGTACTGGGTAAGGAGGTTGGAGCTTCTGGAGAACCACATTCAACAAGACCTTGTCCAAAACCAAAATAAACAACCACAGAGTCATATGAACGTACAGCCCAAAGACCTCATCCAAAGCCCGAAAAAGCTACAGTGCCCTACCCAACCGGATCCGGTGGAACAAACTCTTAATCATGTCAAACACAAATGCCAGGCCCAAGCGGAAAGACAAGACCAGGACCGCATTCAAAATAAACCTCAGTGCCAAGCTCAAATGAACCACGTAGACCACATTCGGGTCAACAAGCAGCAGCAGCAGTACCAGGCCAGAATGGATTACCATGACCGTGTTCAGTTCCACAAGAAAGACTTGGACCATGTGAACCAGCAGAACCAAGAGCAGCAGATGAGTCTGAACAGGGACACCTGCACGCTCAGTGATACCCCTTCGAGACCCGATGGGACACATCTTGACCCAGGACAGTTGGTGGACAGGGACCCTGCCGTCAGTCCTTATGAACTCGGAAGAACATCTGGGCCCCACATGGACCAGAGCTTGTCTGGAACCACATGGACAGATGTATGTCTGGGCAAGAACTTTCACACCAGCAGACCACTGGCCAGAAACCTCCTGCAGGAGGCAGATTCCGAAACAGACAATCCACATTTTGGAACCATCCGCTACTGACGGTTCCTGGCTAGTCTGAACTCTGTTGAGGTTGGGTTCCACTTCAAAAGTCCCTTAAAATACCCTTAACCCACTATTGTCCTGGTCGCACGGTCAGGAAGGCTTCTGCCGTCAGTCCCCGATGATGATGTGCAGATAACCTTAACTATTCCTCGGTGTTGGGAACCAAGCCCTGGTGTGACTAGTAAAAATTTGGGAATAATAAAGGCCCGCTCCCAAAAAATGTCGACATTTACCCACACCTAATTGTAATTTCAAACTCATTTGACAACATGTCCCTTGAGACTAACTGGCTTACAGATGACTTGATTTTAATGTTGCAGAAGTGCAAGGACACTGGAGTTTATGTTGCCTCTTTGCAACCTGTCAAAATGCCAATTACTACTTTCCTATTAGCCATTTAATTATGTTTTTGACTCTGTGAAATACACACTACCATTCCAGTGAGTTTGGTGTCACTTGAAAATGTTTTGTTCTGTGAAAATATCTGAAATTGATTGGGACTTCAGTCCAGACAGTGTTAATGTGGTAAAAAGAAATTGGGTTTGTGAGCGGTGATCACACCGCAAATAACTATTTTCATTTTGGGCACCTACTGTACTTTATTTATGTTGAGCGTCTGTGAATGAATGTTACAGAGAGCCCAAGAATATGCAGATAGGTGGATTTTACAGGCAATTTCAGTTCGGTTCTACCAAACAATTTGCAAGTGGATTCGCTGTCCATTCACATAACTAAGCCATTTCGTTTGACGCGCTCAATGAAGTGGACCAAATTAAATATGAAACAGGGCACCTTGGCAGTGCTCGCAGGAGACCATTTGTCCGCTTTTAATGAGGACCAACCTTGAAATCCGAGGCGGGCTGCGCATTTAGCACTTCCGTGAGAACTCATGTAGCTTAACATACAACAATAAGATGACAATGTGTAAAACGCAGTATAACGTGTCATGCCGTTTAAAAAAAAAATATTGTGGATGTTAAATGTCACTCGGTGTTCTCACTGCCCCCCCTCCCGCAGTCATCACGCGCGTGACGTCGTTTGGGCGCACGCGCAGAGAGCGGCGTGTGTGATGTCACGCGGGGAGGTGCGCCGCAAGTGACGCCATCCCGTCCCCTTCCACTCTCGTTCTCCGTCCGTCTCCCTCCTCCCAGAGCATCCTTCTCACCTCCGCCATCGCCATCTTCATCATCGCTCGACTCTCGTCTTGTCCTTTCGCCGGGCCTTCATCCTCTACCTCCTCCTCTTCATCATGTCCGCCGCCAAGCAGGGGGACCGCAAGGGTTCGGGCGAGTGGCGTGAGTTCTTCTGGAACCCGCGCACGCACGAGCTGCTGGGTCGAACCGCGGCCAGCTGGGGTGAGTCGCGCGCACGCGCACACTAAATAGCGTGCCGAAAAAGAAAAAAAAAAGTGACGCTTGACTTGAAATTGCATTTTATGTAATCACGTAAGCGTGATAGTCAATGACACGTTGGAGGAATTGTGTCATTTGTGGTTTTCAATCAGTTATCTGAATATGTGGTTCTGGATGCTGGTTGTCGTTTTGTTTTTTGTTTTTTTTTAATGCCCCCCGATGCGGAAGCTGCCCCCTGGTGGATCTCACGTTATTTATTTTTTGCAACACACACACACACACATAAACATAAGGACATCCACTCTTTGCATAACCCCCTGTGATGATGTCATACATCCCAGCATGCACCAATGTAGCGGCACTTTGGCCTTGATGGGAGCTGAAGGACACACACACACACACACACACACAGACACAGATGAACAAACGCATGTAGCGGAGCGCGGAAAGCAGTGTGTGTGTGTGTGTGTGTGTGTGTACTTTAATCAGGATTATTTGCCGGGACGCAGTTGAGTGGATTGTAATCTGTTGAAACATTTTCCATACTTCCGAGGACCGGCGCTCTTGAAGTGTGTCTGTCACATAACTGCGTTGCGTACCCTGAAACACCATGCGACTGATTTTATTGTTTTCGTATTTCAACATAAATATCCATGACCTATTTAATAGAAAGGAACGTGAATTGAATTGGTTGAAATTTAATGTTTATCCGCCGTTGCTATCTGAGATGCCGTCAGAACAGTTAAACACAGGGAGCACATTCACAAAGGAGCTGCTTTAGGCCACAGCTTGCGCTCAGACACTCGCATGCCATCTGACCAGGCCCTGCCCCTTTAAGGCACATATTGTACTACATGTAAAACAGATAAGATGTTCCTTTTTTATATATATAGTATTTCATGCTTGTAATTGTGTGTGTGTGTGTGTGTGTGTGTGTGTAGTGTGTTCAAAAATGTGTTTTCCTAAACATGTAGATTTTGAAATCGTGTCATATGGATAAAGTTGTTTTTGTAGGTCTCTGTATCATGCATTATCACCTACTACAAGTGTGTCTTGGTTTGCGAAATTCTATGAAAGCACAGGTGTCAAACTTTGGTCCTCGAGGGCAGCTGTCCCGCATGTTTTAGATTCTTCCCTCCTCCAACACACCAGGTTCAAATGCTCAGGATCGTTTTCAGGTTTCTGCAGAGCTTGCTGTTGGACTGATAATTTCAGTCAAGCGTGTTGGAGGAGGGAAGCATCCCAAACGTGTTGGAGAGCGGCCCTCGAGGACCAAAGTTTGACACCTGTGTCTTAATGCATGCAGTGGGTGACAGTGAAAATGAAAGCCTTTTACTCGTCGGGCCTGGAGCGGGTCCAGTTCTGACGTGTGAGATCAGTGCAAGGATTGCGGCAATCCTGTTAGTCCAAACGTGTTAATCTTCAGCACACGGCAACACTTTTAATGAATTTAAGTCTGTATGATACCTCCGAGTCAGGAGCCACGTGGGCGCCCACGGGGCTCCTCTTGAAGACCCTTTCCACGGAATTCCTGATTACTTTTGGCCGTCCTGGAATGAAAGAACAGAGAAGATGCACGGGCGGGAAAGCACCGCTGTTAATTCGACGTTGGATTTCAGCAATAAGAGGATTTTGGTCTGTCGCTGGCTCAAAAGTATCAATAAGTGAAAAAACAAACACCCGTGGCACCCTCCCCCTCCATTCATTCTGAACTGGGTCATCGGCGGCGGGTGGGGGGCTTAACAACACAAGAGGATTATAGACATTAGGAGGATGACTTGGGAGGGGAGACTGCCCCCCTGGACCTAAATAATGAGTGCGGCCCACCCCCTCGTTAGGTCTGATCCTGCTTTTCTACCTGGTCTTCTACCTGTTCCTGGCCGGGATGTTCATGCTCACCATGTACATCATGCTGCTGACGCTGGACGACTACAAACCCACCTGGCAGGACCGCCTCGCCACACCAGGTAGCGGGGAGGAGGCAATTGCGATCGGTTGATAAGTTCCGGCCCGTGATTGGTTGAATCTGTTGTCGGCGTCTTTCAGGGATGATGATTCGTCCGAAGGGCAATCAGCTGGAGCTCACCTACTCCCTGACGCAGACGAAAAGCTGGGAAGGCTTTGTGCAGAATCTCGACTCCTTTTTGACTCGTAAGACATCCCGCCATTGATTGTTGCTTTATGATCCCGGTGGATGTGACTCAAACAGCAAAGTCGCCCAATATGAGGACGCGATGAGCATGACTTGACCAGTCTTGTGTGTTTTCCAGTTGAAAATTTGCATTTTCATGACAGTGTTTGTGACTGGCCAACGTTTGACCTCAAGTGGGTTTTTAAGTTTGATGGTTGTAAAGTTCCAATACTAACACCAATGTCATGCTTTATGCAATAGAAAAGTGTTTCTTTTTTTTCAGCTGAGTACCCCTAACCAATGCAAAGCAATTTTGGATGAAAAGGAGGGGAAAAAAAGATTGATTTATTAAACTTTGGAACTCCATTTGTAGTGGTATCTCAAGTACAGGGGTCACCAAAGTTGATAATAGCCCACTAGTGAAGTTATCATTTGTAAATGTCAATATTTGCAGAGATTTATAGACATCAGTTGTTGCATATTAATATTTATCTGTTTCCTACCATGTGAAATATTTGTTGATAATTATTGGGAGAAATCGTGTACAAGTGTCAAATATCATTCACCATTAAGATAAATCAAGGTCATTTTAACGAATGTGTTCTTTCAGAAGTGTGCGTATAAAATTGGGAGCCCTTTTATATTAATCAGTCCACGAAGAAGTAGATCTCATTTTCCACAAGGTTGGTGATCCACTATTTGGGAAAAAAAATTATAATAATTTGAAAAAAAAATCAATCATTAGCTACATTATAAATAAAATAAAATAAAAATAATTATCAAAATAATCTGTTCTCCTTTCGGATTATCGTACGGAGTTTGTCTCAGAAAAAAACAAT